ATTATATATATAGGCATGCAAATTCAAACAAACCGCATTATAAAGGCTGAAATGTGAGTTGTTTTTCTTCCTCCTCAGTGCACCTCTGGGTTTATCAACGACGGAAACCAGCTCAAGGTCACCTGCCCGTCATGCCGCAAGAGTTTCTGCGCTCAGTGCAAGAAATCTGTAAGTTCCATCATGTGTAGGAGTTGCTCTGCTTCTCCCGCCGTAGATTAGTCTTGGATGTTTGGCCTTGAGGCCAGGGCATCTCCTCAAAGCAAAAAAAAAAACCTCCTCTCTGTTTGTGTCTCAGTGGGAGCCTCAACACCAGGATGTGTCCTGCGAACAGTTCCAGCTGTGGAAGAGGGAGAATGATCCGGAGTACCAGAAGCAGGGCCTGGCTGGTTATCTGAGAGACAATGGCATCAGTAAGACTGAGTCGCAACTAAAAACCAYGAGTTTCACTTCTGTTGTTGAGTCCCTCAGCGGTCAGCCTCGTTCACCTCAAACTGTTTCTGTATTTAAACTCAGTTTTATCCAATAACCAAAGTCTGCGTCMCTAAACTTTGATTTTTCTCTGGGCAGTTTAAAATATTTCCCCTTTTTTTTGCATTCAATTAACAAACGTGATACAGACGATCGACTTTTCTATTTTATTTTATTTTTTTCAGTTCAATGACTTTTTTCTGCTAATATTTATTATATTGTACAGAAGTAGCAGCTTTTATTTAGGTATTTATCTATTTAGGTACCTTCATGAAGGAAAAATTAAAACATTAAAGCATTCAAATAGGCTTGTAATATAGTTAAAAACAAAATAAGCCAAAAAAGTCTGGTGTTCAGTTTTTATTTTCCCCTGATCGAAACCATCTTCTTAATTTATTTTCAGTTTTTCAGTTTGAAGAGTTTGTGGCCACCAGCTCTGTTTATCAACAGTGCCTCACTTATTTTTTTCTTTTTATCTCGGTGCTTTTTTTTTACTTCTCAAAAAGCACTTGACTTTTTTCAGGTAACTATTTTTATGAACAGAAACTTGGTCACCACATTAAAACTCGTTCTCTGCAAGCCTGACCTGTCGGACCAAAATATCACAACAAAGGAAGGAAAAATATGTAAAAGTGTTTGTGGAAGAAGATTAGAAAATACTTTTACTGATGCAGGTGATAAATTTATCCTGTAGGTTACTCACAGTGACGCTTGTGTGTTTTTGAGAATTTTTCCACTGTTATTAACTTACTTAAATGGAAAATGGACTGTAMTTATGTAGCGTCTTTCTGTCCAACCAGGATACTCAAAGTGCTTTACACTACAATCTGTGTCCTCGTTCACCCATTCACACAGCACTTTATTATCTCTCTACAACGCTAACATGAACAAATTGATCTATAGAGACAAATTAATGCTTAAATCACATTCATACACTGATGGGACACACATCAGAGGCAGTGGGGGTTCAGTGTCTTGCCCAGGGACACTTCGACATGACTGACTAGTGGCGTCCAACTCTCTGTTTAGAGGACGACTCCCTTAACCACCCAGCCACYTAAATAAAAGTGTGTCTAAACATAGTTTTGTATAAATGGCTGTGGTAGCTCGGTGGTCAGCGCTGCAYTCTTGTTATCCTGAAACTCCAGGTTTAAGTTTCAGTTGCATCAGTCAGGACATCTGGGCTAAAACTACTGTCAAATCTTTCATGTGAGTTCACTCACTGTGGCCACCCGTGAGGACCAGGTATAAACATATTTTTAAATGAGCCTGGTACTTGACTCTAATTACTCACAAAAAATAAACAGTTATGATTCACTGACACCTTCTAATGCATCATCAGACTGAACCGTAACAAGTTCATTTAACGTGAGTTAATGTGACGAGTGAAGCTGGTTTGTTATGAAACAGACATGTTGAAATGATGTTGTCTGCGTTGCATAAGATCTCCTTTGTTGATGAAACACTGACTGGAATACTCACCATTGTCTCGTTGGTATTTTTCTTTCAGAAAACAAAAAAAAAGCCTTTGTGGAAAGAAGTTTTGACATTTAGTTTTAGCAATACCAGCTGCTGAAGTTAGTGATTCTGAATGTTTAGATTTTAGTGGTTTAAAGTAGATTAACCTGCAGGACAACTGATGYTTTTTTGCAAGAGTTTGATTAAAGTACAATTATATATTATCAGGGTTTTGTTGATTCAAAACAGGGAATATTATTTTATAATCTCTGCTAACTGAGTTTATATTGCGGTTCAACCATCACTGCTTTCTTTCTTTACAGCAGCTGTCCACATCTGCATAAACATTTGGAACTAATGTTTGTGCTGTTGTCCTCTTGCAGCGTGTCCTCAGTGTAACTTCCAGTACGCTCTGACGAAAGGCGGCTGCATGCACTTCAGCTGCTCCCAGTGCAGATACCAGTTCTGCAGCGGCTGCAACAACCCATACTACAAGGTGTGTTCAGAAAACGTCAAAAAGGACTTACGGACCTGGTGGAGTCACGAGCTGAGACCCAAACCTTTAATCTGCTCGAGATGATGCACAYACAGTCAGACGCCATGCCTAGCCAATATTTGTCCAGCCTTTAACTGTGTCTGTAAAACCAAATGAGCTACCAGKAAAAGCTCGGGTGAATCGAGGTCAACATTTTATCAGACAAACAACTCAAACGTACATGCTTAATGCAAACAAGATGGGGCTTTTTTTTTTGTTGTAAACCCACAAAGACACAATGAAGTTCTTTCTAACCATCCTCCGGGGTCTGTGCTRCTCTTTCTTGGCATGAAACCATACTGCTGCTAACAAATAGTCGCTGCTTGTCTGAGTCTAGCTTCAACAACTCTCCCGGATCTTTGTGTGCCATCCACTTAACTCCTCAGTAGTTGCTACAACTGTAAACATCAACCTCGTACTTAAAGGGATCCCTGATTAGTTGTAACATTAGACTTTATTTGATAAACATTTATTTTAACTGTAAAATAAAGACTGTAAAAATAC